TAGGCTGTAGTAGAAGTTGTCACTTAAACATAGCTGCCAGAAGTTGAGTCATGTTTTATCTGTTGAACCATGCAAACACACTCTAACTACGTGTAAGAGTCATAAAAGGATCCCTGGTAAACCCATATTTCCTCATGTGTCCGTGCACTGTGCAGAGACCTAATACCTGTGCGCTTCTGTGTCGTCTTTTAGCAAAGAAGCCCAACGTGATCTTTTCCCTGACGTTACACGGAGGCCACCTGGGCTTCTTCGAGGGCGCGGTGCTCTTCCCCCAGCCGCTCACCTGGATGGACAAAGTGATCGTGGGCTACGCCAACGCCATGTGCCAGTGGGAGAAACAGAAACCACCGTGCCAAAGTGTCCCTCAGAGTGAGAGCTCCTGCGCAGAGGAAAAATCCTAAACTTCTAACCTCTGTATTTCTCTGATTGTCTCTCTGCCCTCTCACCTCTCACCCTCTCCCACTGTTCCAGCACTGAGGAGACACCTGAACTCAACCTTAAACTGCTCTCTCTTGTCTGCCTTCTCTTCTGGTGCTACTCACCGCTCCCGACCCAAACACGTCCCCACGACCTCACTAAAGCCCCCCCTGTGTAATCACTATCTACTCACAGTATGTGAGGGAACAAAGAACTAACTGCCTTTGTTGCTCGTTTCCGTTGGGAAGACTTCGAAATTCAGAGCAGGAACATTTTGTTCTCTTTATCTACACAACAATGACCCTTAGCTATTGGAGGCGCAGACTAAATATGACGAGAGCTGAAGTCATGTTGGCATTAAAACGTGAAGTGAGAGCGCCACTTGAGAGTAGCCCAGTGAAACAACAAGAGCACACAAGAAGCCTCCTTAAGTTTGTAAGGACTGTGCTGCAGTCGGTGCTCATTTACTGCACCTGTAAGAAGCTCACTGCTTATCACCGCCAAGGCCATATAGCCTAGTCTGCTGTCTTAACCAACACAGCGTCTTTTAGTGTGTATGACTGTTTGTATGTAACTCACAGATGTGTGTGTGTATGTGTGTGCGCCCGTGTGACCGAGAGTTAGAGACCCGTGACGGAGCATGTGATCTTTGTGTTTGGTAGGTGTGATCCAAATTCCCAGTTCATGGTCTGATGGCCCTTTATAATATCTGTTCCTTCGGGTGAACCGTTGCTCTGTTGTTTGTAGAAAATGTGCAGTAAAAAGGTAGGAATTATGGTGGAATTTTAAGCTTTATTTCCAGCTCATAACATCATCTTGGCACTTGGCAATGAGTGTTTACTTTGTGCTCACATACATGACCAGGGATCAACCCCAAAAGGGATCCGTGCACATTCCCACGGTCACATTTGATCACTTTGGTTCAGTGCACTTTACACCCTGTTTGACACAATCTTTCCCTCTTTTTTTCTCTAATTAGTCGAAGCGCAGGTATTGGAGATTATTGTCAGTTTAGCTCTTCTTGTGACAGAGAGGAATTACTGGGGGGAGCGAGGATGATAACATAAAGTTAGATGACTCAAATGTTCCCTGTGTTGTTTGTCTTTAAGCCCTCTTACTCTTTCATTTGCCTTTGATCAGCTGCAGGTCCAGCTGAGAGTCTGATATCTTTCTGTTACTGCACAGACACTCGCACTTCACATTTGGTTTAAACATCTCTGTAAACTTTTGCATTTCTAGCAGATGTTGGTTGATATTGAAGATGCAACAGGCGGATTGGCCAATGCCGCCCTGTCAAAGGGAAAGTTCAGCAGGTTTTCTCTTATAATCTGAGCTGTGAGGTGTGATGAGTAGGAGGGCTGAGGATACCGACGCTTAACCAAATGTTTATTTCAGTGGATTGTTTGTACTACTTGTAATTATACTGGTGATTGTTAATTTAGATGGTGGACACTGAACGCAAGACATATGAGCATTTTTTTGATCGCATTGAAAAGCTTCTCTTATTTAAAACTGGGCTGAGCGTTGACGCTCTTGAAATCTATCTGAAACGTGTCTTGAGGAAATCAAACTGCAATAATGGGACCTGTGGACTTTTCAAAACTCGAATTTGATGGAGAACTTGTTGTAAGGGCTTATCAAGGCAAAGTCAAGCCAAGTAATCTGAACACTGTGACGAGACAGGTGGGTGGTGCTTGACAGCAGCCACCTGGTTGTGTCCTAATAGACCTGGGTTCCATGGTATTTGCAAGGAGTAGCTTTTGTTTAAGTTTCAGGAAATGTAGCATGTCGGTACAATTCATATTTCATTTTTACGTCTGATAGCTGCAACATTATGACCACAGAGTAATTATCCTCAGCTCTAGTTCATTGTTGACTACTGAAATATTAGTTTGGTTTATACAGTAATCAACAATCGACCACCAGTAATCAAATAATTTGCCTCAAGTACAATGCTACGAAGATAGTTTATTTTAGATGTAATGGCTTAAATTTAACCTGCTTTGTTGGAGGTTGTTCAGTGCAAATACCATAAAATCCAGGTATTAATCTCACTAATGCTGGCCTGAATAATATCAAAAACAGGGACAAAGGGATTAACCAATCTAGCTTTATCCCTCTCAACTCAGGGTATCTGCCAATACTGAGCATCAATCCAATACCAATGGCCTTCTTTTCCCACTTTTTAAATCTGTATACCTCACTGAGTGTAACTCAATCATTCCTATGTACTGTATGATACGAGGAGACCATGGAAGATAGAAACACTATATGTTATAGAGGCATTGAATGAAACTGTATTTAATGTGGATCAGTGACTTTAAGGCAGATACCCGATTGACTCAAAGGGTATTCATCCCCAACTGTAGATGTGTCTGAGCCGCCCCCTTCCTTCTTTACAATCATCACTGTTCATGGCTGCCATCTGTTGTCAGAGAGATCAAACTACAACTGCTAACATCCCCTCACCCCTCTCGCAGTGACATTATATTCCTGCTTCACTCTGTCCACAGCTCTCATTGCAAAAAGCCAGCTGTAGTTTGGATTTTTTTTTTGTCTCGTTAGAAAAATCAGATGAATATTAATGACACCAGCACAAACCCAATCTCAGCAGTAAGAGCCATTCGTGTTCATTTCAAGAGTTTTGCCTCCCGCCAGCTTTGCACAAAAATGCAGGTTTGGATGTACTTTTTTTTGTTGTGACTTATTTGTATTGTTTTTTTTTTGTATTTTGTATTGTTTTTATGACTTCTTGTGTTATTTACTTGTGTAAATGCGTCAGAGCGTGAGTGATGATGGACAAAAACCAAAGCTTCTTCACTTTAACAATGAAAAGGCTAAAGGAATATATTAACATAGTATATATGTAAGGGAACAGTAATGAAAAATAAGGCAATAAACAACCAGGAGGGATTTATCTATAATAATAAAAGTGAAAGGAAAACGTGTCAAAGTTTGTTAGACCAAAATATGTCATGTACATTTTTCATGTGTAGGTTCTTCTACTGTATCGATATGAAGACGTGCTCCTGTGTATTGACCTAACCCCAAGTCTTCAAGCATCTTGTTTATTTTTTAGATTGTGGGCTCATGTTTAATTGCTTGAAACCGAAGAAATCAAATATCTAAAAATCTTAAATGTGAATGAATCCAACAAATACGTATTGGGATGAACACTGCTCAGTATTTATTATTTGAAATCTTATCAGCCCTGGCAAGTGTACAGTATAGGAGCCCACAGTACGTTAACCTACACTAACCATTTTACAGCTTTAACTTATTATTACAAACATTTTGATGCTTAATAGAAGACGGTGAAGGGATATGGCGACAACTAGAAGTCGGGGAACACATAGTTGAACAACATGATGTACTCTGATATTGAACACTGGGTCTTTTTGTTGAGAAAAAAAAACAGTGGTGTGTGTGTGGTCTACTTATGTGAGGAAATATGGTTAATGTGTTCCAAAATAAATTATTTTCTCAAAAGAACAAAAATGTTTCAGTTCATTTTTACTTGCCAGTTCAATGCTTTCATAAAATCTTAAGCAAAAATGTTGTAGAAGAAGATGTTATCTGGTCAATATTACATTTTGGGATTCAATAATGGGATTGGTAGGATATGGATCTTCGTTTTATGATGCGGTTGAGCCCACTTTTTTGGATGATCATTTACCTGTATAAAATATAAAACTGCAAGTCCTAGATTCAAATATTTAAAGTAAAAGTTCAGAAGTTTTATCAGCATACTGTACTTCAAATATCAAAATAATAATACCTGTTATATATTATTATGAATTCAGATTTCTAGTAGCATATATTATATACTTAATACTATATGGTTGATTTCCCTCTGAACTGTATTGGAGTGGATTGATGAAGTTGCATATAAATACTCAAGTAAAGTACAAGTATCGCAAAACGTCAGTTCAATTCAAACCTTGTCTTTGATTTAGAACTGACTAAAAATAACCTGATTTTATCGTTTAAGGTTTATATTATTGGTTAAATTGAGTTATGAAACATCCAACATTGTGTGAACTCTTACCTTTCCCGTGTTTCACTCCTATTACTGTTGCTGTAAAATTCCCTTAACAAAGGTTTATTAAATGTGGGGTAGGTAAGTTTGAGAAACCGGCTCGAGATACACTTTTTGTTATATTCCATGGAATGCTCTTAACATCCCGATAGCAATGAATATCTTAAGTGCTTTGACAAAAAATCCATAAAAAAATGTAATCTGTGGAAGCCGTAATACTGTAAAAAGCACGACCAATTATTTTAGCCGGCCCGGCTAAAATAACTGGATGGCCTACCTGCCTGTCAGCCTTCCATCTGTGCACAAACTTATCTCGTGCCCTCATTGGTCATGTGCGCGTTCGTGTGTGTTGGAGGAGGGGCTCTGTAAGGAAGTGGCCGATTTTTTCCGGCTGTGTATTTTCAAATTCTTGCGCACTCGAGCTGGTTTCTCCAAAATTACCTACCCCACCTTTAAGTCTTATCTTATCAAGTCAGGTGAAATTGGAAAAAATATAAATGATAAAAAAAGGACAATTCAACTACAGACACACAAAAAAGCTTTTTATTTGAACATTTCCCAATCCAGTGCAAAATGCAGAATGGATTTCTGTGGTACATCAGGCCTCTGAGAGTCACTACTGAAACAAGGCTGTTTCCAAGGCACTGCATCAGGAGGCTCCTGCTCCTAATACAATAATCAAATGCAGGCAAATACATGATCAGTTTTCCTTCTTCCTATCTTTCTAAACCCCTGAGACTGTGAAACACTTCTGTACTCATTCAGGGTCAGAGGCACGAGGCTGCTCTGTTTGTTGTGACTTTACGTTTTTAAGTTGAGGAACCCCAAACCAAACTAACTCTTATCAACTCATTTTCCCTCTGCTCTTCCACTAACAATGAATGTCAGCGCTCTATAGTTAAACAAATTTACCACCTGTTATTCTCTGAGTAATATCTAAACATCCTTTTTCTTCCCGTTCATCATATATTTATTTGCAAACAATCCCCTTCCCCTAACTCGTATTTTTGCTGCCTGATGAATAATATAAAATGTCAACCTAGCTTCGAAATAGAACTTAGACTGAAAGATCTAAGCATCTAGGGTGGAGGACGCTATAACTCTTGGGTTGGATATGCAGGGCTGTTCTTTCAGAGAGCGGTGTCTTCAGATCCAAACAGCTTGGTGGCGATGGCCTGGCAGTCCGTCACCGAGGCTTTCCCATCAAAATCTGACGGCAGGATGTCAGCGTCAAATTCTTTGAAGAAGTTGTCCAACTCGTCGCCGTGAACAAAGACCTGAGGGAAGTGAGGTAATTATTTAGAGGAAAGCACTGATAGAAAATAGATACATCTTAATGTCTGGTTTAGATTAAAGGGTTAATTATCCTCCACCCTTACCCTCTCCAGCAGCTTGCTCTTCATGAAGGGTTTGACCACGTTGTATGTGGTGGTGAAGTACCAGGGCTGGTGGGTAACGTGCACCGCCTTGAAACGGGCAGGGAAAGAGTCCTGCACAAAAAAACACAGTATATTCAGAAATGAAACAGCTCTGAAGATGCACGTCAAGATCAGCTTTTCCTTTTTGTGTCTGTTCTGACCTGCAGCATGTCCACCATCTTCTTGAGCTCAGCCGGCTTTATTCCCGACGCGTGCTGCATGCTGAAGCCCTTGAAATTCTCAACCAGGACAAAGCCATTGATCTGGGTTTCTTCATTCTCCAGCAACTTCTCCAGGATCACACAGTAAGCTCTTAAGATCTGTAACACAAAGACTTGTTTTTAATTAGTGCAGTGCCTCTCTGGCCAATTGCTCGGCCTCCGGTATTGCTGCCTTCAGCTTTCTGAAAAAGCGCTCATCCAAGCAACGTCCTACTTGACTTTGGAGTCGTTCAAATAAACGGTTTTCAGGAAACTCAAATGACAAACATATCTACAGACAGAAACTACTGCCATTTTAGTTAGACACTGGAGAATACTTTGCTCAGCTGTGCTCTGTGAGGTTCCTCACCTCATCGAATGTGATCTCCTCCAGGTCCCAGTTCTCGATGTTGAAGAGCAGGACCGCTCGGCCATACTTGTCCCTGCTGGGCAGAACCACGGGGTATCCCGCCTCGATGGTGCTGCGGACCGCCTCCGGGGTCAGGTTCTCAAACAGCTCGGGATAGTCCTTCCTGAAGCGCACGTAACCTATAGAGGACCCACAAAACACACACACACACACACAACCAAGTGATCAGCATTATTGAATGTGGCACAGCCCCTTTGTGTACCGTATGAGTGTTCAGTGCAGGTTGTTGATGTGACAAAAACAATGACAGCACTGTGCATCTACAGAGCGTCTCTAAGCCTTTTCATACAGAGGCACCAATTAACTGTGTGTGTGTGTGTGTGTGTGTGTGTGTGTGTGTGTGTGTGTGTGTGTGTGTGTGTGTGTGTGTGTGTGTGTGTGTGTGTGTGTGTGTGTGTGTGTGTGTGTGTGTGTGTGTGTGTGTGTGTGTGTGTGTGTGTGTGTGTGTGTGTGTGTGTGTGTGTGTGTGTGTGTGTGTGTGTGTGTGTGCAATTAACCTTGTTAAACAAGTTCACGGTCCCATCACATCCCCCTCTCTCACTAACAAGTTCTGCTTCTCCACATTCATAAATGTGTTTGACTTTTCTTGTACTTCTGTTTTTTTAGAAGATTCATATTTTCAGAAATAGCACAGAAAATCCTAAATAAAACTGTTTAATGGCCCTGACCAAGGACATTTGGATGGTCCCAGTTATATGTTGAGTGTACATTAGGTATCACAGTTTTGAGTATAATACTTTAGTTAGTTTTCAGATGTTGAGGTGATGGGATCTTTACATGTTTGTGGTTGTACATATTGCTCATGCAATTGGCAGACTCACAAACAATAAGCATGTCATGAATATGCTATCTTCTCAGAGACTGCTCTGCTTTTTAATCTCATCTCCTCTCTCAGACTGACACAATCAGCACATGCGCTGTGAAGTTCCCAGGAGAACACTGCTGGTTCACAAATAAAGTAAACTTGCTGTCCTATTTGGACACAAAGGAGGGCTTTGTCACGGACACTCAGAAGCACCTCAAAGCCCCCAATTAATGAACACATTCCTCTCCGTCTTAGTGGTGGGCAGGATTCATGCTAACCAGGGGCACAAAGGAGGTCTCACCCTCAATTACTGAAGCTATTGTACAATGTCTGCAGAAATGGAAACAAGCGCACGGAGGCCAAGAAAAAACACTTTTGATAGCTCAGTTTGTCTTTCTACAAATGAGATGGTTAATACTAACCCTTCATGAGCTCGTAGGCTCTGGCAACATCAAACTTGCGAGCCCTGAGGAAGCGCAGCAGCAGAGAGTCCGGTTTGTCCCCGAAGCGCTCCAGCACCAGTTTGGCCAGCTCGTCTCCCTCCGCCGCTCTGTCCTTCATCGTGGCCCGAAGGTCCTTCAGCGAGGACGCCCGCCTCTCCTCCGTCTCACCCAGCTCATCCTTCGCCTGGAGGAAGAAGAAAAACAGCCAGACAAGTCAGACACATTTTGGGGCACAAAGTGTTACTACAATGAGGACTGGGCTTTAATATTCAAATTTGAACTCCTACGTATTATTTTTTGTTTTACCTTTTGCACAGTGTGTCCAGGCAGTTTTTGGCATGGCCCAAACACCGGCCCATGATCCTTCACTGTCAAATGCTCCAGCTTAGACCTCATGGCCTGCTCGTCCTCTGACACCATGCGGAAAGATCCAGTCTGCGTAAAAGAAGGAAAGCTTTAAAAAGATCATATCAGTGCATGAAGGTTATTATCAATCATAAGATTGTCATCAACGTTTTCTGGGCATAGCGCCATACAATAACAAACTTCTTTGGTTGAAATCCTCCTTTGTGTGTAATTTTAACATAACAGTTTTTTTTTACACCTGCTTTACTGCCTGAATACTTCAATGGCAGCTCATAACAATGACTTTTAAGTTGTGAACCCACAGTGTCAGCAGCAGCAGACCCCAGGCGATGCACACCACTACGTGAACGGCTGCTTAATCTGCTTCACATGATTACAGAAAGGACTTCTGAAGCCACTTCTTAAAAACAGCTTAAGAGTCCATCCCAGAGCAAGCATCTACTGGCACAATAACAGCATTAAGCAGCATCATGCGCTGACAGTCCAACCTTCAGAAGCTGATGCTTTTAAACCCAGTGAAGTGAGGCCAGACACAGACAAACTGGCTCAAATAGAAACAAAGGCACACTCAAGTACTCGCTCTTGATTTGTTGCAAAGAAGTTAGACTTACAGCAGCCATGGTTGCAGTGTCTCGCAGTGTTTCACTAACACTGTGAAGAAAGAAGAATTGGCACAAACATCAGCATTCATCTTTTCTTTCAGCACTGGCCAGACATTTAGTTCATGTTAAGAGTTTGTTAAGGAGAGGTAATCTGATTAGAAATATATTTATCTGAAAAAGTATTTATCTGATACAATTATCTACATATGTTATACATCAGGTGATGTTATTGGGAAAAAACAAATTTGAAAAACGAAATCAGTGTTTTGCACCTCTACATATTCTGAAGGTATTTTCCTGAAAGACTCGTAAACACCTGGATTTGAATCGGTTTGCAGCATGGTAAGAAAAGGACACATTTTTCAACCCATTTCTTAAGTTGTGACTCTTTGTAAAATAAATGATATTTGCATTACATTTCTTTAATGCAAATATGCAAGAAATCAATATACAACAATATTTTATAAGAAAGATAAAATGTTGGTCCATGTTTTAAGAGGACATATTCAGATTTCAATCTCAGCAGCATTTGTTTTATTGGGAAGACACTAAATTGTTCTAAACTTACATCCAGCTGGTTTAAAAGGTACTTTGAAAAATGTGTTAAAAAATAATAATGATCAAGCAATGTTGTTTAAATGGTATTCCAATCTAACAAACAACTTTAAAAGTAATTAAGTAAGGCTGAAAGCCAAATGTAGTTCCAGCAGCAACAATATTTGAGTGTATTATTTCACCACTAAGGGTGTAAGACTTGAAACACATGAATGTTTGTGGGTGTAAGTCAAATACAGAACATCAAACAAAACAAAAGAGGCAATAATCCTTCATTCATATACTTTACGACACATTCATTATTGTGTAGAATCTGTCATTTTTACCATCAAACAAAAAAAGTATTGTTTTCACGCCAGGTTAACTAACTATTTTTAATGATGACACTAAACTATAGAAATAAAGTACTTGTTAATGGTTATAATTTTTCCTGATTTATAAAAAAAAAGTTGTGTTTTACTAAGATGCAGAGCAGCCTTACCTTTAAGCAGACGGGAGGAGAGGAGTAGACGGAGTGGCAGCGGAGACACCGAGAGGAGAGAGGATCAGGAGGGGAGGAGCCGGGAGAACGTCACTCAAAGCAGGCAGGACTATAATGACACAGTGGATTACAACAAAGGTACTCTAAGTAATGCAAACTGCGAAGTGAAGGGCGAGCTGGATGAAGGAGGAGAGCTGGTCCATCACACATTAAAACAATAGAAAACACAATGACATGTCACTCAATACATTCATTTAGAGCAGTGGTTCTCAACTGGTGGGTCGCGGACCCGTTTCGAGTGGGTCGCGGATGTGTGAGTGAAGAAAAAAAAAGTTGGGAAAAAAAATTAGATTTTTTTTTTTTTTCTTTGGGGGGGGGAAAAGTCAAACTTTTATTTTGAAGGCCCGATTTTCTTCTCAGAGTGTACCAGAATGCGTAGTTTATGTTAGTATTTCTAAAAATCTCCTGGGGGAGAATCCCCCCAGACCCCCCTGCTGGGGTTGGGTTTCAGCATGTGTGCCTTTTTATATAGTTCAGCTTTGATTCCATCATCTCATTAAACCTTTTTTAAAAGCATACTTTAGTTCTGTGAAGGGATATATGCACTGTACTTCACTTTTATTAATATTGTATGCTCAAAAGCGTATATATATATATTACAGCACGATTTTTTGTTGAATAGATTTGAGTGCTTCAAAATGTTGGGTCGCGATGTATTGACCAAGTAAAAAGTGGGTCCCGAGGCCTGACCAGTTGAGAACCACTGATTTAGAGCATTAATTCACTGAAATGATTAACAAAACTGAAAGAGAAAAGAAAAAAGGAAAATTAAATGATAAGAAAACAGGGTGGAAGTAATCTATCTAATAAAAAAAATAAGCAAACACATGGACAATTCATAAAGAAAGCAACACTTGACAAACAAATCAACAAAACTAATGCATGTGTTTTTGTAGTGTTATTGTGTTTTGTGCCTCTGGTCCACAGTCATCTCAATTGATGGACACTTTCATCACACATAATTTAATAATTTTAGAAGAGAATAGAAACTCATACAAACAAACACAAACTCAACTAGAAGTAGATACATCATTACATGTTTTGTATGTGACGCTTGTGTTTTTTTATCTAGCTCCCCACACAGTATGTAAGGCAGCAACCTCTTCAACATCACATCCTATTTACCATTTCACCCAGCACATGAGATGAAAGGTGGGATTGGAGCGTGATTCTCTTGCCTGTAGAAAATGTCACGAGACGACCACCTGTGAACTTTCTGCTTCACATTCCTCTCTGCACATTCTTTGAAATCCTCATCAGAGGGAACCGCTTGTTTTTGGGACCCAGATTATTGATTCCTTATACGTGATTGCACACCATCAGACAACTTGCCTCACTCTCAGTCATGAACGACAGTGATACAGTAATCAACTCGCATTTGTTCATTTTCTTTTTGGAGATTTATAAAAGTTTGTCAGGTATCTATTTTCACCACCGTGGCCTCCATCTTCGTTACTTGCAGCAATTAGTTGGGATGTCATTTTGGCTTCAATTGCAGAAATGTACATGTTTTTTTTGTCCTACATATTTCTACATTTACGGTTTTGCACTGATTTTATTCCTCCACCTTTTTATTCTCTACATCAATCAATCTTGTTTTGTTAATACAATAGTTAATACAACCTTGTTTTTTTGAGAATCCTCTTTTTGCATACTTGTTTTTCCCATATGTGTATAAAGATGTCTATACATTTTATATTATAGACACCTTATCTTAAAGTAGTAGAGTCAAAGGCGGCAATAACATGCTGTTTTATTCTTTGAAATGTTTTCCATGCCCCTGGCAGGTTAGGAAAACATTGTCATTAAAAAGGTTGACACTTTGGGAAAAAGGTGTATCCACTTTCCTCAAAAGAGATTTAAACAACCTCCTCAAAATGGCAAACAATTCATTAAACAAATGTTTAAGAAGAGCAGAAGAGCATTTGAATAACTGTTTATTTAACTGAACTGTTTTAAACTATAATCATGCAGTATTTAGCTTGTGTCCTCTTGACATTCACCTGAATATAAAACATGCCATGAAAAAGCGGTGCTTGTGTAAGTTCAGGCCGTTATCCTCCTGATGTCTGAGGAGCTGATAGAAGAGGTTAATGAGCAGAGGGTCTCTGCTCCCCACACTGAGCCTCTGTGATGCAGAACTGGCAGACCTACTGTACTCCGCGGTTGTTCCTCCAGCAGCACCTCTCATTAGTGGACCCTCATGAATAACCTCCTATTCCCTCGCAAACGCAAACAGGGGTTAACAAAGCCTATCTCATCAGTCGTTGCTATACCCTTCCCCGGTGTACAGTTAGGTTCTTTGATGTGATGAATTCCTGCCAGTTATGTCATCCTTATACAAATGCAAGTAAGTTTCCTACACATTCACAAACACACAGCATTTGGATGTATGCCATATTCTGATGATCTGTAATTTGAAGGTTTCAGAGGGCCCAGGTCAGGCCACTAAATCTAGCAACTCACTTGATAAAGGAGTTCAAAACATCGTTTTTTCTAGAGCTGATGTATTGTTTTTATTCTGGAGACGATGATACGTTATCTTGCTACTTTCACCATTAATAAACATGTATCTTTGTATTGGGGCAAATAAAAATGTACCTCAGGCAAGTAACAAAAAAACATTGACTTTGAACCCTTATCATAAGTGTAAATTACTGGATGAGTTTTTCCATTTGTGGCTAAGTATTTAAAGGATAATGACAGAGACTTAAAATGAAAGGAATGTATCTCAGCAAACCATTTAACCTTCTTAGTGGAGAAAGCGCAGGTTTTTACTAATTACATTAACGATGTCTCCATGCGTCCCAGTGAGCCATGACAGTGTGGTTTGGGCGTCATTATCTTAATCATTTACACCTGGCTTTTCCTAATGTTACACATTCAAAATCTGGTCCAAAACGGTTCCCAGACTGCTTTTAAAGGTTAAAGAACAACCTTATTATCCTATTAGTATATCCAATCACAGAAGTATATTACCAAAACGTATTCTCTACTCATCTAATCCTGCATCTGTGGATTACTTTCCTTCTTATGGGAGGATCCACACTACCACCTAGTGGCTCCAGTATTTTGCTGCCACGTTAACCCACATGGCATGAAATCCCCCACAAACCCTCATCAGAAACTATCAGTGGAAATTCAAACTGCAATTCATCATTTTGCTGGGTGAGAGGTAAACGAAGAAAATCTGTGAAGTATGGCTTTAAACTGTATTGGACAGAGGGTGTTTGAACACAAGCAATATACATAATATATATAATATTCCTCTTTACTCTGATCAAGTTAGGACAACACACCATGTCTCTCTCTCCTGAGACTATCAATCATAAGAGAAAACATATTAAACTAGTTGAAAAAAGAAGTACAAACATTATCTTTACAGATTAGAAAGCATCAGGTGGTATTCTGACAAAAAGCCCATTAACAACATTGTAGTGGAAACAGTGTAATAATAGTTTACGTCTTGATCAGATGAGTTTTTAATGAAAATGAACATATTTGCAACATGCCACATTAGAATCGACATTTACACAATTTTGTATGAATTGCTGTACAAGTAGTTTTTTTGACAACCAGCCCACACCTTCCAACTTCCTGCTATTTGTTCTGCCATCTGCTATCACATGACAAACTAAAAGAGGAATTGCAACTAAACAGTGACATTTTAAAACTATGACTGCATAGATGGGACATACTGTTGTGTTGTGAGTGTAAGCAGGCTGAAAGCACACACACCAGTGTTGTAATTGTGTTTTTTGTACTGTTTTTCACTACTAATACTTTCCATGTTAAAGCAACCTTGCACATGTGTGGACCATGGATAATACCATTTTTTTACCCAATGTGCTGGACTTTGGTGTCCTGCTTGGTTTGATTTATTTTGACATATTCAGAAGTATGTGCGCAGTTAAAACACTGAAGTATCAGTTTGCAGAATGTATCTGCACTTCTCTCTGTCTTTGTATTCTTCCACAATCCAAATAGAGAACTAACTGTACTAAATATGATTTACTAAGAAGATGTATGTCTGCATTTACAAACAACAGGGAACAGCTTGTTTAAACTGTGGGTTGTTCAATAACAATTTGATTGTAGCCTTGCTCCTGTGTGCAGGTAATCACCTATTCTTTATTGGGAAAGTGCACCAGTACAAAAAGAAATCCAACATATATTTTTTTTGGCATAAAACTTAAGGCATCAGGAATTCAGTTTACAATTACATTAGCTTACTGGTCAAATGTATTAAATGTTATACGACAGTTCACTATGCTGGAAATCACACCTACAGTATGAAATGCACTTAAATGTCAGTATTTACCAAATAACTCTAGGTCACACCATTCATAACAAGTTACAAAGTATCCAGCTTGCGGTGAAGAACCGACCAAAAAGGCACCATTAGTGCTGTTTGGAAAGGATTAGCTTCCCATTAGTTAGTTTCAAAGAGAAACAGTAGTACAGATATACTAACATGATTACATTATTTCTAGTTTCATATACTTATAACATGGCCCCTTTGTTTCCAGTGGTTTCCTCAGTAGGGTCAAAGGTGAGAAGCTCTGGTCTTGTTTGCAGGTCCAAAGCATGGCCAGTGATAAATGAGAGGACTCAGTCATTCATCAAACATAGTGGTTTATCTTTACTTAAACCCTCAAAGGAATTTGTATATTTACACAATAGACTGTACTCCTCCTTTGTGAATTAAAAAGATAAAATAAATAAAACATCTGTTGTCACTGTCCCTTTGACATTAAAAACAGCAGAGTTGTGGAACCCGCACCAGTAAACATACTTCTTTTCTGACGAGGACAGTTTTATGTACAAAGTGTGTGTGAGCTGCAGTGTTTTCCTCAAAGTACCCAGGCCCCTCTGACAGCTGCAGACTGGGATCAGCCGATGAAGGTCAGAGCGGCCATGATGCTGAAGCCCAGCAGGATGAAGAGCACCTTCAGAAGCTGCTTCCCGGGGGAGTTGAGCTCATGGGGGAGGATCTCCAGGAAGGTGATGTAGATGAAGGTCCCCGCAGCGAGGCCCTCCAGGACCGCCTGGATCAGAGCGCCCGCCGCCAGCTTGGCCTCCATCACGCTGATGCCGATGGCGATGCCTATTGGTGACATCATGGCAAACACACTGATGTAAGCAGCGATCCACAGCGGACGCACTGCGCTCTGCACCAGCTTCACCGACAGGCTGAACACGATGATGGACTTGTGGACAAGGATCGCTATGCAGATCTCTAATACCTGGAGGAGAAGAGAAAGAAATGTTATGGTTATCTTTTGCCTCCAACAGCTTCTAAATAAACACAAACAATAGAAAATGTTGAGGATTTTGTGTAAAAAGGCTGGGATGAATTTTAGTGGTTGAATATGAACAGACAAAATACGATAATATACAACAATATTGTACATTTTTGATATATTATAATTGTGGATTGTTCCAAAAAAAACACTTTGAGTGATTTTACTGGTATCTGTTTTAGAATAAATAAATCAGTACAAAAAGTCAATTTTTCGTCAATTAACTGACAGGCTGAGGTTGATTACATTTCCATCCAATGGTGATGCAAGTGTTTATCCACAACACTGATACTTCATTAGCACTATGAGAAAAGCCATAATACGTAAATTACTGGATGAACTGACTCCCCTTTTATATAGCAGAATCAAGTCAACTAAATACGACGATAAGAAGACGTTCTTCCTGCATTTGATCAACAACATAGTAGACTTGAGCCTTTTTCAATCACAGTATTTATTAATGCACTTATTGCAAAGTGATTTATCTTATAAAATAAAGTGTTGATATAATATATTTTTGGATTCATAATATTTCAGACCAACTGCCTTTGGTTTTATTTGTCTAAATACTAAAAGGACATTGCCTGGAGAACAGGCACATAAAAACATGCATGAAGATACAAAGTCCTGAGGGTTGTTGTAAGTATGCTCAGACTGTGAGTCTGTCTTGTGACCTGAAGAAACAGATCTGACTATTATGACAGCGAGATTCACTTTCTGTCCTGAAGCTACAAACAAAAACCTGTTTATCTTCTGGCATTATGCTGGGAACTTGATCCCAACTTTATTTGAGCAGCATTTTTCGAAGATATGGCTTTATTACATGTCATGCAAAGAGCATAAAATGTGATGAAGCCTGAAGAATGAGAAAGGAAGCAAGGTTAACAGGGATGTCAGCTATGTTACGCCATCTATTTTATCAAAAATGTTTGAATCAAAATTATGAAGCTCAATTTTAAAATGTTTAATGAGGCACGAACATGTGCAATCTTCTCCAGTGACACAATGAGCAGAATGCACGACTCCTATGAAATCAGGTGTAGTACTTGTGGGTGTTTTACCTTTGAGTCTGTGCTCTGCAGGCCAATAGCAAGACCTTCAAAAACTGAGTGGAGGGAGAGGGAGAGGAAGAGCATGAAGGAGCGAAAGGGGGAGTGGGCCTGAAAGTCTACATGGACATGTTGGCCGCTCCCCTCCAGATCAGGATTTGTTCCATGGCCATGTCCATGTCCATGTCCATGTCCATGTCCGTTCTTGTTGTCCGCCATCAGGGGGGACCTCTCCTCCTGAGACTCTGCCGCCTCTCGACAGTTCAGGACAATCCTCTCCAGAATGAGAACCATGAAGAATCCAGCAGCCATGATGAACTCTGCCAGGGGGAAACTGGTCTGTTTGAGAGAGAGATGAATGAGTCTGCAGGCAGTCTGATAACGTCAAGAAATAGGAAACACAGATTGTAAACAGAACATTATTCCTATAAAGACCCTCAGTCATACAGGATAGGATATCTAAAAGTGCTGTCAAACGCAACTGAAACAGATGGTTATATTTGAAGAATACATATGTTCTTTACAATGTTTATGTTATCTCTATTCAGTTAATACAGCTAAAATATGTTTTATCCTTTAACTGAATAAAACAGCTAACAGAGATGTTGTTTTAGTACTTCTAAATAGACTACATGATGTTTATCAAGCAGGGAGAGATGACATCTCAGCATTGAGTGTATGAGGTAGTAAATTAAGTAATTAGTTGAATGACAGAATTCATAAACAATTTTGAAAATCAGTTAATCATTTGAGTATAATATCAACTAAAACACTATATATTCTCTCTGCTTCCAGAACCTCAATCTCTTTATCTGTTTAAGAGGTACATTTGTTCTCTGTGAAATTGAAATATGCATTTTATAAAGAATACATTGGTCCCATTATTTGATACGTGGACGTACCTCCACCTTCCGAACATCCAGCTCAGCGCTGATGTCCGACAGATAATCTGGAATGATGTCCAGCAGACATGCTGCCAGAAAAACCCCGCCAGCAAAACAGCTGATCAGACTCAGAACTGTGCTGTGCAATTCTGCAGGAAGGATAAAAGATAAAAAAGCATGACTTTTGTTTTAACATGAGCTTATAATTATACAATAACTACGGTGATAACAGTTAAAGCATTGTCTAAATCTAGCCTCAGTTTTGTGTGTGACTGCTGTTGTGCATTTTAGAAACTTTATTAGCAAATCATGATTCCATATGTGACTGAATGGGGCATTTAACATTTTCTCACTTGTTTGTGTCAATTGGTTTCAATGTTCAGTGAATATTATGTTACTGAACTGGTGTATAGCTGACGTATTGATGGTAATTCTTGGAGACTGATTAAATCCCTGCCTTTCCTTCCCAAGCTATTTGAACATCATGTGATCATGAAAGAACAGAAGTCCATATGACTCAGCAAACCACTGAAACGCATGCGGATATTATGGGGAGAAATGAAACTCTCACTTCCATTTAAGAAAGTCAAAGTTCATCCTTAGATCCTTGTTCTGCCTGTTATGAGCTATTAAATGTGAACATAAGCTGAGAAGGCTTTTGGCTTAGGCTCCAAGCCTGTCAGCTGACTGCAGGGGTGAGAGGAGGATTTATTAATGCTAGCAAATAACTTACACATTTAGGTTGAAGCACACTAAAATGACAAGATAATGGTGTAATGAGTAATACAATTCTCTCATGATCACAATGGATATGTTCTAGGGAAATAAAACATTATCGAAATAAATATTAGTTTCTGCTCCTTGTGGTAGTGGGTTGTGTTTGAATATCAGTGATTACAATCAAGATTAAACACTGTATCACTACTCTTTAATCACTACGTTAATGTGTTCTACAGTCACAGCTGATACAATCAATAGCAGTTCATTTGCTATACAATACTCCAGCTAAAACATGTGATTCATTGAGCTGGTAAACCACTATCTAACCTTCCGGACCCTAAACCACACTGCATTAAAATCACGGGCAATTTACACTTGGTTTCTTTATATGCAAATGATTTAACATCGTAGAACAGAGATGACAACTGTACTTTAATCAGCAACTTTCTGATTTAAATTCGGCATTGATGTTACAAAATCCAGTCAAGTAAATCATGTGATGTTTGCATTAACTCACGTTGATGAATTTAGCTTGTGTTTAAATTATTTGAAATGTGAAAGTGAAAGAAATAGACAATTTTATGAACACCAGTGCTAATGTTAATGAATCTTAGGTTATATTGTTATATGAAATGAAAGGTTACCGACCTGACCCGTTTGTGTCTCTGAACCATTTGATCCGAGCAGGGATTAATCCGAAGAGAAGCGTTAGGAGCAATAACCCGACCAGAGCGCCTATCTTCACTTGGAGCAGGTAATCCATTTTGTAGCATAAAACGGTCTATTCAAATGTTGACAACCTAACTATTCCATCATGTCTTTAGCTATGGGGAAACCTGGAGCTTGCTAACCGCTGTGAAGATAAGAGTTTCCCTGAGACAAGCAGACACTAATGTTGTCATTTGGGATCTGCGGTACGGTGGTCGTAAAGGGTCAAAAATAATCTATCGCGAAAACAAACAACCAGCAGCCGGCCCAAAGGTCTCTCTTTCACTAACATTACCGAGGAACATGTACTATTACTAGATACTTTCGTACAATTTTGAGACACTTGTTCTTTAATGGAGAATTTCCATTTCATGCAACTTTATGCTTTTAGTGCACAATATATTGTAGGCAGATATTGTACTACGTTTTTGTTTAGTAAATAGTTAGCAAACTTCTAGTAGCCTACTCATATTGACTTTATGATAATAAATGTATAATCATAAACTAAATAACTTTAATAAATAATAAAAACATTTAGTTCTTCCCTATAGTATGGTTGATATTTTGAAATGGCCAGCAGATGGTGCCCCGGTACCAAATTTCACGAGCGTACCAAACACTCGCTTGATGACGACGTTTTCGTGCGCCGGATATGTCGACCACCATCAGAAGAAGACATATGCTGATGTGTTATAAGAAATCACACCGCAGAGAATGTTGTGAGTTTCTCCTTTGATGCGGGATAATATAAGAAGGCAAAGAGTCACAGGTCGATGTCAAAGAAGACGCAGAGCAGGAAATCATCAGAGAGCGAATGGCGGTGAGAAACACAGAAACACTGACTGACTCACTCTGCATTTACACACAGTTGTTATGGCCATCACAATGAAAAGTAATTCTGTCATCGTCTACAAAACAAGTGGTCAAAATGCTTAACAATGTTGTCAATATAACAGTATCCTATTTTCTGATGTAAACTATGGCTATGGACAATGATTGAATGTGCACAGGGCTGCCATTGTTTTATCTGGTGTCGTGTATCAATTTCAACAGTACTAAGTAACCTATTACTGCATTTGGGAGATGATTTCAAGAGATTGGACAAAGATTTACATTTACCCCTTTATGGTTTAACTGGGATTTGTTTATAGACCTTGCTATTGCGATTCAGACAAGAAAAAGACTGTTTAACAGCACTGCATCACACAATCTGATGTATTTTAGAGAACTGGCGGATCATTGGTTAATGTAACCTTTCACACATTATTATAACCCTTCATTAGTGAACGTCAAGATTAACTGAAGGACACATTCACTAGACACAATAATATATACAATATGCTTAACAGATTACGACATTTTGCTTGTAGTATGCAATAAATGAATGACTTGAAGTTTGGGGTTAAGAATATTTAAAAGAGAAGCAGCACAATAAATATTAACCAACAATACATAAACAGTAAACAGTTATTAACAGCTGATGTTACTGTGCTAAGATATATCATTCAGATACAGTGAGACCACCAAAGACTGCAGAATAAGTTAACAAATAATAATATCTTTTAAGTCAGTTTTCTCCAGATACTGAAAATGTTGTTCTGTTGCATGACATTTAAGATGTGCCAAAAATGTTTTTTATGATCAAAAGTGTATTCACTTCCAAGACTATAGTCTAAACAATTTTCTAAATAAAGGCCAATTGAGAAAAAAATAATTAGAAGCTATTTTGATATCAACAATCTGTGGAAAGTCTTTACTGCCTTCCTTTTTCTTATAACATTGCAATTTAGATATTTGTAGATGTTTACAATGTTGGTCAAACAAAGGAAGACATTGGAAAACTCTGTCAAGTTGAGCTGACCATTTTTGACAGTTTCTTGACGTTAAAAAAATATTAAAAGATGATTGATTCATTGAGAAAATGATCTGCATTATAGGGAATGAAACATATCTGTAGTTACAGCCCTAACCAGATTTTAAGCTCACATGTCATAAACGCATAATGCGGACTACTCAGGTTTCGTTTAAACACACCGTAATTTAAGATCTGACTTTGTATTTAATTACAACTTAGCAAGGGTGAAATTATTTTCTTTGAGGAATGTAATCAAATCAAAAACGTTTTGTCATATAAAACATTTATTAACATCACGCCAACTTTTTCGAGTGTGCATAAAGGAGCACAACAATTACAAAGATTTTTAGGATTATATTTACTAAAAGGGATCCCTTTGTCTGAAAGTAAATAAGGGGAATGTAAAAACACCTTTGTTGTTTTTTTTCCTGATATTGTATTGCTACCAGAAGGAGCCAAGGTACATCTTTACCAATCATTAAGCTTGATTTCAAGGTTACAAACAAGCCTTGTTATTATTTAGGGTTGATCTCTGATTAGCTATGATCCTTAAATCACAAGATTCATTCACAAATCTAAATCAAAGTTTGCAGATTAAGTGTTATTTATCAGAATCTATAGGATAATTGTCAGATATCAAGTCGCATGTACTGCCTTAAGGAATCAGGAAGTCTGACAAACCACAAAAACAGCTTGCCTGAAAAGCTGTTTTGCATTTGTTTCAACTTAATATGAATGATTTGGTTAATCATGCTGAATCTGCTCTCTGTGTTTGCAGCCCAAAGGGAAAGTCGGCACAAAGGGGAAGAAGCAGATCTATGAAGAGAACGAGGCGACGCTCAAGTTCTACACCAGAGTCATCCTAGGAGCTAACGTAAGAACCTCAATGCAAATGTTTTGTCACTCTGCAACTCACAAACTAACAGTTATTTTCCTATCAAGTCATTCTCCAGAGTATTTTGTTCCCCATTAATTAAGCGTATATTCGGTCACAGCATTCGATTAGCTTGTTTTGTCTGACTAGCAGCCTAACATCTTAAGATATTCATATGCAATGAGGAAAAACAGCAAATCACACCACATTAAAGAAGTTGAAACAGATTGACATGATTGCTTTAAAGGTAACTGAAATTATGATTTATAAATATGAAATTACTATTGAATGAATTGTCAGACTGCTAATAGGTTATTCAACTAATAAGTGCAGCTTCATTAGACTGACATGTTATCCAGCCCTCTTACATATATACTACTCCTCTTTTACAGGCAATATATGCTGCAGTCAATCTTTTGGTTTTCTACAGTTCCTCTTCCTTTTCGACATGGGTGAGTTGAGTCATCTTGTAGTTTATTAACTATATTTACTCAATAATATATATATCCTCCCTAAACCATTGTGTTCCTCCTGCAGCTGATGCTTGGGTTCGCTCTATCAGTGTATATGGGGAGTTACCGCTCCATGACCTCCATGGCCAAGGCTGCGTTTGCTGAGGATGGAGCTCTCCTGGACGGAGGAATAGACTTAAACATGGAGCAGGGGATGGCCGAGTGAGTAATAAGAGAAACTCCTAATTTAGTCTACATAGGCGATGAAAAGAACATCAACATTACTTCTCAGCCTCCTCGCTGCGTAAAGGATTTCATTTATTTCTTTGTTTCCAGGTGACAATGCTGTATTTAGAATTAGAATAATAAACATGCTACAATTTATCATCAGTCAGCGCTAAGGCAGAGAGGACAGGGATCTTTACCTCTATATCACAGAGATTATGTGATGTTCAGTAGAGTTTGTGCATTTATAAAAAAATAAGTTCTGGTGTAAAGTTTGTAAATAAAACAGTAAAATGTTTTAATTGTTGTTTTGTTTTCTGTGTCCCTTTACCCTTGAAACTAAACTTGGTGACTCAAATCTTCTTGTGCAGAAACATGTCAGTGAGAGTTAATTATGTGTGTGTGTGTGTGTGTTCTTGTTTTAGACACCTGAAGGACGTCATCCTGCTCACAGCCATAGTGCAGGTGCTCAGCATGCTCTCCTCTTATTTCTGGTATCTCTGGATGCTGGTAAGAATACTTCTCTTAGCACTTCCCCCCTGATATATCCTATGACATAGCTGTTGATTTCTTTATCCTTTTTTTCCCCTTGGATTTCCTATTTTCTCACTATTTGATCTTGTCTTCTGCGCATGTCTCAGGCCCCGTTCCGAGCCCTCCACCTGCTCTGGACCAACTTCTTGGGCCCCTGGTTTATGGCAGACGGCCCGTCGGCACCGGAGGAAGTGAACGAGAAGAAGCAGAGAAGACAAGAGCGCAGACAGATGAAGAGATTCTGAGGCTGCAGGGCAGACAGAGCAGTATTTTTATACACAGAATCTAATATACAGATAACGAGGAACTCATAAGTTATTCAGGAAGACATTTCGTTATTAAGTTAAACTCAATCTGAATCCAATACTGTGGAATCTTGTTTTCCATGTTTGTTTGTTTTTTCTGATTTATCATGAAATCTAATTTTCTCCCTCAACTATTGAATGAGATGTTCTGCATTTAGATAATGTCACGGTCTAAATGTCATTAATCCTCATGCAGAGATTTAAGAGTGTTGACCAATGCACAATCCCTTCTCACTGCCTCCTGCAGACTCCCATCAAACAGAGACAGAAACAGGTTATCCATTTCTGTCTTGGAATGTCTTTTATTTTAATTATATGTTTAATTTTATAATCTTCCTTCAGTGGACCTTCCTTACTGACCTGATTCTGTATGTGAGCTATTAAGTCTTATCAAATGAACACAATGGATAGAAGTCAAGTTTTAATAGAAAAAAAACGTTTTGCAATAAAAATCTCCCTCCAGTCGGTGGAGTCGATCATCTTTTGTGTTTATATTTGCGTTCAGTGTGGTTTGTTCACAGGATGCCTTCAGTCATCAGTCTTTTTTTTTCTTCCTATTAGGCTAAAGGTAGCTTTAAGTGGCCTAATAAAAACACTTACACCATAAGAAGCAGTTAAATGGCTTTGTCGCCTAGGGTTCTCTAAGTAATTGTATGGTGTTAAAATGTAGTTTGCAGAGATATGTGGAAATGAATTCTCGTAAATCAAAAAAAGGAATTTTGAGAATAAGTTGAACTCAATTGTAGCATGAAGACTACATGGTCTTCAACTTGGAGCATACTAAACTTTTGGCAAAATTGTATTTTCTTTAGTCTTGTCAATTTTGTTATGTATCCTAATAGCAATGTCATTTATCATATTAGAAACCTCTATTGGGGCCTTTTTTTGGTATGGCAGCAATATGTAATATAAGTTAAAGGATAATAATATCAAATGTCATCTTGTAGCCATATTTGTGCCACTGCAAATAATTATTACATATACATTTCATGTGTTTATTATCTTTTAAGATTAAACAGTTTC